AACGCATTCCCGGGGATAGTATCCTGATATTGCGCAATAAACGGGAAGAGAAATACGTTCCTGTTCTTTCGCTTATGCGCCGCGTTATATTCATAACGATCCTGAGAATTCGCAATCAACGTCCGTGCGCTCGCGATATCGTATCTCTGCTCGATGAGATCCCTTTTTACGAGAACAGGATGCAAGATTTTTAAAATAAAGATGACCTCATATTTGCTATTGTAGCACCGATAAAAATTTCAATTAAGCTCCGTACCGAGCAAATGCACCTTGACCTTTACACATTGTCCGTAATTCCTTCTTGTAATTGAAGAATATGAAACGCGGTGAATGTGTCAGGAGGACAGTAGTCTCCGGAACAAAGAAAATTCGCGCGGAAAATTTATGCGCTCGCTAAACTTTACGCCTCCGCGATAACGACGCAATTATATTGGAAACAAGAGCGTTAAATGTTGCCGAGATTGCATCGATACGCCATAATCTGCTTTCATATTTTTAAATGCAAACGAACGCTTTATCGAAATATCAAATGTAAGAAATTGTTGCCCAACAAATGTTGCACTTAATACTATTTGCAGAAAGATTTCTCCTCGCAAAATTTAACTTAATAATAATAATAATAAAAATTCTCTAAGAGAGAAAATAATTTATATTTTAATAAATATCATATATTAAGAAATTACAGTAAAATATAAATTATTCTTAATATATAATATTAAAATATTCTTAATATATAATTATTCTGAATATATAATATTTCTTAAAATATAAATCTCTCGCAGAGTTTCTTTCTGTACACTATAGATGAATCATAAAACTCGTTTGAATCGTAAAAAATGTATGTACAAAGAAAAGAGGGACAGATGGCATCAATTAAAAAAATCTCAACCACGGAAAAAAGAAAATGCGTAAGCTAGATGCCGAGGGAAATACTCGAGGGAATCCATACAAGCCGTCTGATGTAGCCGAACGCGCAGGGGCTGGCGGAGATTTTTTTCGATGACGCCAAAGGAACACGAATGTAACCGAGCGCCGGTTTTTAGTGGCATCCTCTCAACGTTTCTCTGCCTCTTTAAATGCATGGTAGCGTGATTCCATGCAGTTGGCCTTGGAAGCTGCTAGAGCGTTCAGGCTCCTCCTCGCTCGGTGGCCCTGAGAAGGTGGCCACGGTCAAGGTTACAAGCGTCCTCCGCCCCTTCTCTCCCTCGCCTACCGTTGCTTCTTCTCGTCGACCAACGTTAGCAATCACGCGGTTACACACGCACACAAACCCGAACGTGCGACTCGCGCGCGAGCGATCTAAACTCGCCGTTGCATCTTGGTGCACGTGCACTCGCCTCGACATATCCCGCCCCGATGCGATCGGAACGAAAATGAAATCGAACTACGCAAAATCCACAATTGCTGCTGATCATTGTAATCGAGCAAAATACACGATTTGAATATCAGATATTAATGCTTCTCGCAATAATAATGAATTATTTATTAGTGTTTGAAAAATTCCTGACAATAGGCTGTCGCATCAGAAGTGGCATTAAGTCGTATTATGTGTGCTGCTAATAATAAGGAATTTAAATTGAATGTTAATTGAATTCACGAGAATTGTAAAAAATATTTGAGAGGCCACATAATTTTATATTTAAATATTACAGATTTAATATCTTTGTGAAGCTTGATGCAACTTACTGTATTAAATTCGCATTAAAAAAAGCAAATCAGAAATAAATTTGCATTAAAAAAGCAAGGAGATTAGAAATAACTTTTTTACAAAGTCATTGTTGAGTAAAAATTTTCTAAAAAATTAGAAAAAAAAAACATGCTTTTCATGCTGTGTTTTTGCATTTTTCTCTGCCATGTTTGCCTACATTATACAAAGTCTTAACAAGAATATTGCGCATTCATCGCGAGCGAACTCTTAATCGAGCAAATAGACAGCTGAGGTCAGAAGTCTGGAAAAATTCAACGCGTTCAACGGCGACCGAAGGAGGCCCATGAGGGTTCCCGACCCGTCGAACTGAAGGAACATAAACAGAAATAGGACAGGTTTCCAAGGCTGCCATCTATATATAGGATGCACACCACACGAGGAGCGTGAGCGTACTATGGGTGGAGCGCTGTCGTAATCGTCGTGGTGCTCTCTCGTTGCCCTTCGTCTTCTCGCTCTTTACCGGAGGTCTAGAGCAACTATACACACGGCCGACAATGCACACGTATATCTATACACGCTTGTGTAGCGACGCCCGCTGCCGAGAAGAAAACGGACCAGCGGCGTTCATTCATGTCCTCTTGAAAGCCCGTCTAAGTCGCTTTACGACAAGCGGCGATCGACTTCGTTTTCTCTCGTTATTTCTTTCGTAGAAATATATATATACGATATAAATCGTTGCATTAACGAGAAATTATAATTTGCCAATTTATCTCCTACAAAATAGAAGCCTACACAGAAAAAAATATCGTTCTACTGCCAAGAAAAGCGATTACTCAGTTTATTTTTTTTTTTTTAAGCAATAGTTTTCTTCAACAAAGAATATATTCTTGATAATAATCTTAAAATATACTCATCACAAGTTAGAAAATCTCATTATCATGTACTCAAAAAAAGAATTTATTTTCTCTTCCAGAATATTGTAAAGTTGTATCAAAGAAAAATCAAACTTATTTTACGTCAACTTTTGTAGTAAGCAAACCAAATTTTTCTTTTAATTTAATATTCTTGACTAAAATACTGCACTTACTAAAATTCAGAATATATTCTATTAAATTTAATGCTTGTGGTGAACTTATGATATATTTGCGGATATACTTAAAATAAATAATATTTACTTGAATGCAGTATACATTTTTATCTGTGTACGTTTTATGTGTCTTATCTAAACATTATTCTTATAGATTGTATTTCTGATTTATTGCACATTTTTTATTAAAATTTCGACAGATACGCTACTTATGTCGCAAAATATCATCTTGCAAAAAATTTGTCAAATTTAAGACGAGTATCAAATTTCATATCATAAATTACACGTTAATATAATAAAAGTTGCATTGATATGAATTCTCTCGAAGGCACAAAGTTAATTATTAATTAATTAACCGATTAATTCTGAATATTTTTCAAACTCGGTTTTTCCAAATTAAGTAATTATATGTTCGCAAACTTTTTATCTGTAATAAAAGTTTTTTCCTTCGAGAGAAAATTTTTTTCCGCGCGTGTTAAGTCTTGAAAAACGGAGCTGCGCGATCCGCGAGCGTATTTCAAAACTTCGATGAGCACACGAACCGGTTCCTCGCCCCTTTTTACGAAACCAGCGAGCGACGATTAATATTAAAAGTCAGTAGAGCGAATTAACCGGCGATTGGGATCGCTGTCAAACTTGCGCAAAGCTCGGCGTCGCGTGTCTGCCTTTCGAAAACCATCCTCGGTGTCGAATTTCACGTAGCAACGAAAATCGAGAATCGATTTTACTTCTAAGAAAACCCGAACAGCGTTTCGTAATATCTTATTAGCGCACGCATTCATCGTTTCTGGCTTCTCGGAAAATCCCCGGTATCGAATTTCACCAGGCAACGAATCGGACTTGATTTATTTTTTTTCTCTCTTTTTTTCCAAGTCGAGTATTATTCGTTTCGTCATCTCGCGAGATATCTTGACATATATATCTTGCGGAAGATCGAATGCGTGCAACGCGTCAAATGTCAAAACGGCGACACGGAATTTCGGTCGGGACTCTTTAACCTCCCTTTTTCGTCTCTTTAAAGCTTCCGCCTTGTATCCCGATAGTTTCGAGAATCGAGAGTATATTCCGAAAATTTCTCGCCATAACTTGGACACCATCTGCCGCGACAAAAATCGCGCGGGACGTTTTTATCTAAATATTTGGAGATCGTAAAACGCGCGGTAAGCGCGACAAACACATAAAGAAAACGGCTGGATTAACTGTCTTTCGGTGAAATGTGATTGCGTAAGAGAGAACCGAGTAGCTACAAGTTGAAATCGAATCCAGTTTTGCTGCTTCGTGCTGGAGAGCGGAATATGATTTATTTTTATACGGCTGTCTATTCGTGAATAGGAAATATTCTGAGGTTTCGAATTTTTCGAAGTTTATAAAAGAGAGAAGTTGTAAGGACAACACTGTGTTCTACAAAAAAAGGAAAAAAAACCGCTTAATATTCCGAGGAAAAATACTTCACCTTCGGTTCTTCTTAACATAGCCACGCCCAGTTTTTATGTCACAAACATTGATATATCGTCAAGAATAACTCGCGTGTGTTCCTTACATTCCGATCTCTCTATATACTTTCGCGGTTTTATGCATTGCGTCGAGAATCCCGAATAGCGCCCTTACGATTTTCTCGCGCGTCTGCTTTAAGGTGTCGTCTTTTCCGGAAGGTACTCCTACACAAGGACGCGCGACGAAGGTTCCGACGGGAAACCGACTCCCCGACACGGCCCTTGTCATTTATCATTCTTATCCGAAGATTCAGCTTCTCTTTTTATAGAGATTCCTCTCGAGGATTTGCGCGAAACGAGCCTCGATGCATCCTCTCTCGTTATCTCGCGATGCAAAATTTTCGTCGAGGAATATTATTCGATTTCTTATCAATAATTTTTATCATCGATTGCAAATTTAAAGAATCGAAGACTCTTGTATGTTTGATAAAAATGTATATATTTTTTAGTATCGATTATTAAAAATGTATATATTTTTTATTATCGATTATTATAGCATTTTTTATTATCGATTAAAATTCGAGCATCGAAAACCATGGTTTTCGAGAATTTATCAAATTTACATTTTATAAAACATACATTGCATAAATATCGCATTGTCGAAAGAAAGAAAAAAATATTAGATAACCGCGAGCAATTCTCGTATTTCTCTCCTATTACGAAAACATGATAAAGCGATCTCAATGCGAGGGTCATAAATATAAACCGTGCTCCCGAGGAAAAAAAAGCTTATTTCTCGATAATTAATTCCGCAAATGACAAGAGGACTCACCTCGCGCGATCGCTGAAAAAGTCGACCTTGCTCTTCTTCTTCATGATGGCCTGCGGTTGGTGGAGCGGGCTGACGCTCGGCTCGCTGGTGGCCGGCGGCGAGCTGGAACCGGTGCTGGACGACAGGGAACCGGCCCTGCCGCGGCCCGACTCGATCATCTGAGCCTCGCTGGTGCCGCGCCCGTTGGCGGCGACGACGTGATTGCCGTGATTGGGCGGCCCGGCCGACACGGCCAGGCTCGGGCGGGTGTTCTGCCGGTTGCGTCGCTTCTTCTTCTTGGCCTCGTTCTCCTCGGCGCGGTGGCCGGCCACGTTGCCGAAGCCGGGTGGCAGCCAGTCGAGGTCCTTCTTCAGGTGGCCGCGGCCGCAGCGGCAGCCGCAGGCCTTGAACGCGAGATCGTAGCCCTTCTTGGTCCAGAGGTTCTGGTGACGTTGACGCTCGGACCAGCTGCGCGCGCGGCCGCAGCTCTTGAGGTACGTCAGTACCGTCTGCTCCCAGGCGTCGAAGCACTCGCGGTGCATAAACTGGCCGACCGGGCAGTTGTCGTTGTTGCAGGTTACCTTGACCGTGTCGTGAAGGGCGTTGAGGCGAATGAGAGTATCGCCGCGCAGGCACTCGCCGGTCGGGGTGCAGCACCGCGTCGTCTGGGTCGGGTTGCCCAGCAGATTGTCCATGGGATCGTTGATGCCTCCGCCACCGGCGCCGCCCCCGTTCTCCAGGAGGCCACCGCCGCCGTGGGCGCCGTTGGCGTGACGCCGCGGTGCCATGGATGCGAGGAGTCGCCCGAGCTCGAGTGTCCTTTCCTCCCTGCGTCTCTCGAACGCCGTGTCTGTCGGATGCCTCGGCGATGCGGGTCCCAAGAACGAAGGATGTCGGCGGTTACCGATGGACGGACGCGCTTGGTTGCGAGAGATGATCGACTCTCCCCGTCTATCTCTTCATTTTCGGTTACATCTCACGCGACCGGAGACCCGACCGACAGAGAGAAACCGGGGGAAGGGCGGAAATCGATCCGACCGATTCGCTCGACTCGACGAAATCAAGGCGCCTCCTATTCTCGGAATCAAGGTCATTCGTTGTTGCGCGTCACCACGAGATCGGTCGGTCGAACACACCCCTCGAAAACACCCTGCTCGGAATATGGCGTGACGTTGCTCTAGTCTCCGTGGACGCGCTGGCGCATCCAAGTCAAGGTCACTACGTGTTAGGGACACGTCGCGCCGCGAAAAGTCGCGAAAAATCGCGAAAAATCCGGAAACGCGGAGTCTCGTCGCGATAACTCGGCGATGTTATGAATCACTGTCCTTTTCTGCGCTTCTTCTCTCTCTTTCCTCTCTCTCTCTTCCTCTCGCGAATGCGTTCGTTCGTTCGTTCACCGTCAATTTGGCATTACACAGCGCGATGTTGCTTCTGCGCGCACGAGACGACGAATGTGTCTCAGCTGCCGGCTTCTCGAATGTCAGGGTCACCGGCGCCGGTAAGCGTCACCGGCGTGCGACGCAATTTCCGATGCTGGGGGCACGCGCGCGCGCGCGTCGCGTTTCACGACGAACCGCCGCGACGATTCGAATAAACGCACTTGACGAGCGAGTGTACGGTCTTACGAGGAAGGGACGCACATACGTTACAACACACAACACCTACACTGTCTCTTTCTCTCTCTCTCTCTCTCTTTCTTCTTTTCCCGTTCTCCTTTTTCTCTCGCTGCTCTCCCGACGAGACGGACGAGCTCACGACGGAAAAACGCTCGCTCGCACGTAGGGTATACCAGTCACTGAGAGAAGCCGGCGACGACAGCGTGTTGGCTGCCGTGGCGCCGAGCGCGGGCGAGCGCGAAAGTGAGGCCCCATTGGGTGAAAGCGAAAGCACCATGGTGGGGGTCACGGCTAGCGCGCCAATCGATGCGCGCCGTTGTCGCGTCCCTGCTGCTCCGCGGTCGCGACGTCGCTCCGTCTCTCTCGCTCCCGCGTCGCCGCTACCCTCTACGCCCGCGTGCCTTCTCTCTCTCGTGCGCCGTCTCCTTCCATCCGTCGCGCGACACGATAGTGCCTTGTTGATTCCGTCCCGTTCTCTCCCTCGCCGTCCCTCTCTCTCTCTCTCTCTCGTGCGCGCGCGCGCGCGCCTCGCTGCACATACGCGCGCGCTTTACTTTTCGAACCCGGCCGGTCGACCGGCCAAACAGCGAGTATAATTCGAGATTGGGCGTGTGCGCGTGTGTGTACGTCCCGCGATACGAAGCAGCCCGGGCGAATTTAGCGAGAAATCGTACGAAGGATACGGCAGAATTTGTGTCTCGTATTTGTTTCATACCCGGAATCTTTCTCTCCTCTTTCCCTCTTTCGCTCTCTCCTCCTCGCGCGCGCATCTATTACAGATACGAAGTGATGTATCGCGAGTTGTATTTTTCTTTCGAAACGAAATAAGCCAATTATCGAGTTAGTATATAAGCCATTTTTTCTCCCTACGTTAAGGTTATCTTTAATTTACGATCGATTTTCTTGGAATTTAAAAGAAATTATTATCTTGGGTTAATCTCTCTTCGATACGATCGACTGTAGTCAATAATTATTGAGCATCGATAGTTTTGAATTCAAAACAAACTGGATAACGTTAGCGAGTATCAGAGGTTAAGCGTAAACATTTATTATTATTGAATATTATTACTGTTGGTATCTGTGTCGTACAAGAAGTCTACGTAAATGATGTACTTTTCCATTAATTTCTCAAAAGATATCTCAATACAAAATGAGCTAAATGTGTAAAATTTTCAGTAGTGTCAAGTTTAACTAATATTTATTCGATCGATTTTATACTTTGACTTATGATTACGTTGAAATTAACTCATCAAACATGTTTTCTAACCTTATTCATATCCTCTTAACATTAGTTTATTTTTCTGTCTTGTTATCACACGCATACAATTACGGTGTGAAATTCAATATTGATTTCAATATTTTCAATTTTAGTTACAAAATACAAATTTATTTGTGATTCATCTCTTTTGAGATACCTGAAAACTAAAAAAATGTATGCTTTTCGAATAACATGCTGTTCTCTTTGAAACTAATACACACACACACACACACATATACACGAAAAAAATACAGTACACTCTCTTTTAATATGTTAACTAAAATTATGAAATCTCGAGTTACACTTGTTACATTATTCCGTGTTTTTACGATGCTTCACTATATCATTTTCATTATCAATATGTGATGTAACCGTTTATTTACGTACACACGAACTCGGATCGGGTGTACGTGAATAATTTCACGTTCTTCGCTTCGGTGAATCATTCATAGCGAACGCATTAACAGAAGTTACAAGTAGTTTCCATTAAAATATCTAATACACCGTTTTTTTCTTTGTTGTATGTCTACGTGTCATTAAGCCCTGCAAAATGTACGTCGTAAATTCGCGAAATGCCATAAATATCTATGCCCATGCAGCACAGAATATTGCAATATTGCCGCAATATTGCTGCAATATTCTGTGCTGTATAGGTGAGAACTGGATCGTACTGGGCAACTATACTATACAAAAAATGAAATGGTCATATTTAAAAAATCAGCTGATGATTTAAAGAGGAATTAGACAAATCAGCTGCGTTAAAAGTTAATAAATCTAATACGTTTCGAGATTCGTGAATTTAACATTACTCAAAATGTTTTTAAAATATGTAATTACTAATTAATTTATGAATTAAAGTAAAGATTTGCTCTATGAATTTAAAATTTTTGTGTCAATATAAAATTTTCGTGATTTAGTCACAATAAAAAAGTTAATCCGATATATTTATGATTTAGATTGTATTCTACTAGATTGTATTCTATTTAGATTGTATTCTGATTTAGATTGTATTCTACAGCAAATCTTTATTTTATTTCATAAATTAATTATTAATTTTATATTTTAAAAAACTAAAATTGCATTACGTAATGTTAAATTTATAAATCTCAAAAAATGTATTGTATTTATTAACTTTTGACTGGCATGCTTCTCTTCCTCTTTCTCTGTCAAATAAATTTCATTGTAAAGTTATCAAATAATTTTTAATATATTTTTCTTCCCATTTTCGCAATTTATTTTTTAAATTAAATAATGATCCAAACATTTTATTACAGATTTCATCCTACCAACTTCGATGAGACTTGGACGGAATGCGAGGAGAGATTTTCAACAATTATGTTACGTTCACGATTGTAATAAAGGTATTTATGCACGGGAAATTTCAGCTCATATCCAAGTTTCTGAAATTCATCATGTTTATCCGAATAAAATCTTTTCCACAAGAATTTCGATTTATGTTAATTGCATATTACAAAAACTTGTATAAGACATGATGAGCCAGACTAAATCTCTTAATGCAAATTTTAACTTATGTTAGACTACCATAAACTCGTTTCTTGGATATTATTTTCTATGTCATCGGCTTTAAATTTCAAAAGTCCAATGAGAATTTCTCGTTGATGTCTTTATTCGATAGAATTATGTAGTTATGATAATAATTAGGCATATATATAAAACTAGATAAAAATATATCATGTGTTTATTGATAAAATATACTTAGAAGTTATATCTAGTATTTGTCAAGAAATTCATATCTATAAATACGCTATTAAAGCAATTTATCGATGATAAATCGAAGAAATGTTTTTTCCGTCATTCTTCGATTCACTCTCGCAGAGTTGTGTGTTATCACAAGTGTCAGCGAAAGAGCACAAACAACGTTCTGATTTAACATGTAAATGTTACGAATTATCGAACGTTGGACTTATCTATAAAAGAGGAGAATATCATCAACACTCAAAGATTTTTTTCATGATTATATATTGTGCTGAATAAAATATTTATAATCACAAAGTGTATGCATCAGCGATTTTTCTTTCTGGTAGCTGATACTTTATCAAACTTGCCAATATATTTCTGCTTTAATAAAATATATATGTCGGATATCAATCTTTTGTAAATTCTGCTCGATTTTACTAAGTTATTATTTTAAAAACAAGCTATAATATGTATATATTAATAACAAGGATGCAACTGAAGAGAGATTGATACTTATAAGAAATATTTATATTTTGAAAAAAATTACTTTGACAGATTAATGATTTTTTTTGTTTTATTACATTTAATATACTATATTATGTTTTACTTAATATCCAGGTAATATATAATAAGATAATATATAATAAGATTCGCGAAAACAAATAATTTGCATATAATTGTTAATTTTATACACATTATAGCCATCTGAAAAATTTTATAATTAATATTAAAATTTTATAAATAAACTCACAGGAACACACAAGTATTTTAAAATACTTTACATATTTACTTTGTTTACTTTCTTGTGGCTTCTCAATTACAAATTAAACTTGTATATTCTCATCTATATTTATTTTATATGTATAACATCATAGATTATATGAAGTTCAAACGCTAAATATCTCTCTAGCATTCCCACATAATTCAGTCATATGGAATAAATCGTATAAAGAGTCGATTCTGTTTATTCGAGTATAACCTCATGTGTTTTGGACCGAAACTACGTTTCGGACCGGCTTCACAACGGCAAAGCGAAACGAGATACGTATTAGATTACGTTGCATAATTTTATCGGTGATCGTAAAGTTGTAAAGAAACTTGATATCGCCCAATTCGCACGCGACATAAACTGCGGATGTTGATAAAAATAGCACGTAAAAATTTTCGATACTAGTCATATGGAATTTTATGCTATCTTGATCCAAGAGTGCGATTGTATTTTAGATCAATTTGTCGGAATCGTCATTGTCATCATTTTGTTCAGCGATAATGGTTAAAAATTCTTTGATTATTATTATAAATAAATTATTATTACATCTAAAATTATATAATTAAATTATTTATTTAAAATTATTTTCTGTTTAAGAGAGATTTGTGTAAATAAAGCGGTAAATATTTTATCACGATGGATCTAAACGAAACCGAATTTTACGTTTGACAAATTCGATACATTTTTCGCGGAAATTTTTTTTTCAAGAGCGTAGACAAACAATCAAATTCGTAAATCGGCGGATGAATACATCGAGAATATTCCGTTCACGCGTGAACTTTCCTACAGTAAATAGAGTATGATGATAAATAATAAAAGCCCGGAATGAACTATATATCACATTCGAGCACATTGTACGTGACGTCAGAGAGACGAATTTGATTCGCCGGCGTGGTGGAGGAATTTGCCATTTGTATCGGCTCGTGTAAATATTGTACAAGAGCTGAGTGAATCCCGCCGCGGCGGAAATCCAGGTCAGTTGGTTCCCGAATTTCGCCGGTCGATGGTTAGACGCGAGGGAACCGACCGTTGCCGCTGCCTATGGGGTACCCGAGAAAGGATAATCCAGCGTTCTCTCGAGAGGGCTCCCCGTGAAAAAGCTGTTTTGATCGGTTCGGGTTTCTAGGACGGTGACCGTGAATGAGGCTTTAAGCCGGTACATACGACGCTATACTCGATGGGGAAGAGCGGAACCGGAGGGGGAGGTTGCAGGCAGACGAGTTTACGTATATATAAAGACGAGTTTGGATATATAAAGAACCAGATGTCACACTGAAAAGAACACGCGTATACCCCGTCCTATTCGTGCATTAAGAGGTACCCGGGACGCGCTATTAAAAATCCGCCCTTCTTCGAGGGTGAGTCGGAAGAAGTAGGACGGTAGGAAAATCGTGACAATTTCGCATCGGGAGAAAAATTTCTTCGGCTTTCTCCTTTTTCCTATTCGCGACGATAAAGGAGCATTTGCGCCATGA